CCGATGAGGTGTAAAAGACACACCGTCGATTTCACCAGCACAATCGGCGTTTGCTCTTCTTGTCTCCGTGAACGTCTCCTTTCCCTCGCCGCTACAGCCGCCATTGAAGAAGAAGATAACAATCACCGGAGGAAATCTAATCCTCCTCCTCTGATTTTCCCTTGCTCTGTTTCTCCTTATACAACCCGACGAAAATCCGACGCCAGAGCTGGAGGAGATCCGATAACAACAACAACAACCTCTAATAACAATCGAAGATTCATCACCACCCCTCAAGTAGATCTTGGATATTCATGCAAAGATTTCGAATCGTTTAATAAATCGAAAGAGCCTGGTAAAAAATTCTATAGATTCTCTAATCTATTTAGAGCAAGTAGATCTGAAGAAGAATATTCCAATTCTAATCCTAAATCAGATCCTAGAATTTCATGCGACGTTTCCGAGTCTTCTTCCTCGTCTTCTCGATCATGGATCTCGTCGATTCTCTCCGCCGGTAAGACCAGAAAGAAACCGAACACCGCTTGTTACATCGAAGACGTAATCGCTGGTCGGAGACCACAACGAGTGTTTTGTCGAGGAATGTCGCCGGCGAGAGATTTAGAAACGGAGGAGGAAATCGAGTTACCGTCGGAATCGATTGAGGAAACTCCGGGGAGATCGAGAAGAACGCCGGCGATGAAAACTCCGGGAAGGAGGAAATTTGCGACGGGGATAGGGAAAAGCATGTCGGGGATGGCTTTTTGTTTGAGTCCGTTGGTGAGAGCGAGTCCTAATTGTCCGTTTAAACGGAGAATTAGATTTCCGTCTGAATTTGGAAACTCCGGCGAGGTAACGGAGCCGGAGAAACCGCATATTTCTGCAGCGGCGTCGTTTTGTGCGAATAGGTCGAAGAAGCTCGTGGATTTAGGTAGAGTTAATCGCCGCCGTTGAGTTATTGGTGGGAAGTCTAGTCAACGTTTTGACTAGTGCAGTAGGACATTACGTAAGTACCCTTGTGTGACTTCTAAAGATAGGAATTTTCTCCAAAATTATCAAGCTTTTTAATTTGGCTTGAAGGTGAGAATTTATCAAAATGAAAATAGTTTTAAACTTTTTTTCGTTTTCTTTGTATTTTTGTAATGTTTTTGTTTTTCTGGTTGTAATATTGTAGAGTTTGGTGGAGCAAGTATTTTGCGTAGGAGATTGGCAGATGTAGATTCAAAAAAAAAAAAAAAATTCTTATGAAAATGCTTTTCTTGGGTGTACAAAGTAATAAACTATGTTCATACCATTTCATTTGTTACTGAGATTGCGATAATGATCAGAAACCATATGTTGTCCGGTTTATAACACTATATATGACCAATCTTGTTAGGATTGCTTCAACTCGTAACAAATCCATCATTTTGATTTTGTTTTTGGTCGTAAACTGCATATCGGTCTATAGAACCGCGAACGGGATACCGAACCTGAGTCTTTAAAAGGTTTGGACCAAATCGGGGTCGATTCTTATACCGGTTCGGCCCTGTAAAAAACCATTTACAATACTGAACTACGTTAGTCGAGATCGTCAATGTCATTAGACTAATCATACAATAATAAAGTAGTAATGCGGCAGTCTAAAGTTGAAGTTTAAAATGAAATTTGACCCATGAATTTCTGGGTGTAGTAAAGAGTGTGACAGTTTTGACTTTGGTTTTTTTTGTCTTCATCTTTGAAAAGTTGATATATTGGGTTTCACAATCGCTCTTCTCTTAGTCAACTTCAACAGATATACCTACAAAGCTAGATTAGAATCACTTTTAGACACAAGTATCAATATATTTTGTCGACTTTTAATCAAATCCAAGTACGACATTATGGTGTTTCAAATCAACTTTATAAAAACTTGTCTAATAAACCCAAAAGATTATAAATATATAAGAGAGAGGGTCCATGAATTTAAATCCGAATGGGTCCGTGATCAATCTCCTGAACGCTCGTGAAGGAAAATCAGCATTAATTTCCGGTTAAGGTATGGAAAAAAAAGATTAATATGCTGAATAAAACAAATTTAAAGTATTACTGTAAAGATTCGAAACAACTTTATATAAGTTGGTTTTAATTATAAAGTTATATTCAGGTTACGGTTGCAACTAAATATTAATTGGCTTTAAGAGATTTGAGATTGACATTGAACACGGTGCGTTTCTTGCTTTGTCAAAGAGTTTCTAACATTATGTTTCTATATGGAGGAAAAGTGACTGGAAATCAAAGTTCAAATGTTAATAATCTTCGTATATATAAAAGTTAGGATCGTATTTATTCATTGGTAATTAGATTTTACATAAAAAAAAAAGTTCATGAATCGGTAAGTGATACAAGAACAATTCAATGATAAGAAGACTTTGTATTCTTTGTCATTGAAATAAAAACTCTTTTTGGTAGATGAGATCATCGAACTAAACCTGTCTTCTCAAGCAACTTCAATTCACTGGACGATTGCTAACAAATCACTCTCTTTGCAAAAGCAATGCTTAGCATCTGTTCCTAAATCAACCTGAAGAAATCAAGAGAAATGTCTCAGTTACATAAGCATGATCTCAAAGTCATTACATAACAGTGTTTTTCGATATTTCATCCATCACTCAAAAACAAACCTCATTGGCGCTAATGTCAGAGAAGAGAACCTGCGAAAGACACAACGACAACTCGAATGAATACGATTCTATTAAAAGAGTCTTTAGAACCAACAGAGACAACCTTCTTGCCAGGCTCTACTTCTCCAACCTCAGAACCAACAGAGACAACCTGAAACAAACTCCGAAATCATCGATTGCTTCTTCTCAAGTCTTATAACAATACAAGTAAAGAACAAAGCTTTACCTCGCCCGTTAGGTACCTCTCGAATTTCACAGCTCATTTAGGCAGCAATACTCCACCTGAGGATTTTTGCACAAGCACAAGCACAAGCACAACAACACTGACTACGATTCACATGGAAGATTGTAACCATTATCTAAATTTCTTCTTCTTGATACATTTACTAAGATTGTATACATAAAACACCACTGATTCTTCAACTGAAACCGCAAATATTTCGAGCTGACCAGTTAAAATTTTGGATTCTTTTTTTGTAATCTTTTAATGTCTTAGATTGTTTCTGTTTTACAGACACATGAACAATTTTAAGATTTCAGATCATATTAGAACTAATTACTTGGTAACACAATCAGACAAACCAAAGAATGCAAATTAATTGGAAATGTGAAAGAGAAGAGCAAAGAGACAGAACCTCAGCAAGCACTTCGAGACGGACAAGGACTCTGTCTGCTTGAGGAACAACCTA